GGAAAGATAAATGCAATCAATTCCGGCTACGCAGCCATTAAGGCACACACTTAACCAAATAACTTATGCGATGATAAGTCAAATAGTAAAATGATGCTTGAAGTAAGAATAAGATAGTACACACAGAAAGTAGTCTACCATAGTAATAAAGCATGAAAATATATTATTATTTAGTTAATTGAGCACGTAAATACTCAATCACTTGATTTGGTTCGGAAGCAATGGCGAATTCTCTGAGAATGATAATCAGGTTCCAAGATATCAGAACCAACCAGTGGCAAGAAGGAGGGCATTCCCTTGCAAAGTATGACTTCCGACCGAATGGTGTCTAAATGTTGAAGTTGCCTTCGACAGTACTTTACAGCTAAATCTAACTGTTGGAACGTAACAAATTGTTCAGCTGAAGAAAATAAATTGCGCCAGAGTGCCGCAGCTAGAGCAGTGTCAGCATGCGCCAAGAATCCTTCATCATAAGCAAGTAAATGTCCAACCCAGCGTCGGCGATATTTACGTGAAATTATATGAGACGTCCAAGGAGTCCAATAACCATATGACTTAAGGCGAGATCCTAAGTCAACCATGAAGGTCTAAGCAAATATAAAACAGTAACGTGGAAATTAAGAATTATTTCGTGCCAAATTCGGCCATAAAAACAGCTGAAATATTATGATTATTGAATTTTAATGAGAAAAAAAGAACACTAACAGTGTGAAATGAATCTTTGATTAGTCTCCCCTCCTTGCCTTCTTGTCGAAGTCGAACAAAGCACAGCCAAATATGAAGAGTAGTTATTTCAAACCAAGTATTTAATGAATCACGAAGCCCAAAATATTTGAAGAAATCATTATGATCAGGATATTCGGCGCAAACAAGATAAAGGCGCTTTCCTGCTTGGACGATGTCATCGTATGGATATCGTGTATGCTCATACCCATATCTTAGCTTTAATTTTTTGTAAAACGAAGGGGCGGGAAAAACTTTTTCTCTTATTATTTGGATATTTCGACTTACTATGAGAGTTAAGAAAGGCCGAAAACGTAACGCTAACGGCGTAATAAGCATGTGGCGCGGGTTAGCAGAAGCGGCAGGTGCGAAAATCGTTATTAAGTAAATACAATATTCTTATTTTTATTCACTTTTTAGGTACAACTATAACATTATAAAAAATGCATGCTAAATTTTTTAAATTAATACTGCAGAATTTGCTATAAGTGTTTTATTGAGATTATCTAAAAGATACATTACTCATACATAATGCTTTGCACCTTGTTTTCCATTGCAAAAAGCGAAACTTTGTTAAACGTTCTATATGCCAGATCACTCTTTAGTCATAAATTTGAGTGACGTTAACTTTAGTTTTAATTCGTTCTATGGGAGATTTATTGGCCTTTTTGTGGGCCTTAGTGTAGTGTTATTATTGAAAAATAGGTGATCGAATAAATTAGTCCTTCTGCGGCTTATTGTATTCGGAAAATATTATATTTATTCGTTTCTTGGTGCGCTCTGGACTTTCAGTATGCACAGTAATATTAGCATCCTTT